TGATTTGTCTGTAGTTTGCTGGATCTGTTTTTTTCCCCTTTATTGAAGATGGGACCCACATCAGCTCTTTTCCAATCCTCTGGTAGTTCCCCGATGCTCCAAGATTTTTGAAAGATATGGTACAGTGGTTCTGAGATGACATCTGTCAGCTCCTCCAGAACTCTGGGGTGTAGTCCATTAAGTCCTGGTGATTTATGTTCATCAAGATTAGACAGGTGTTGTCTTACCATTTTTTTTTGTTTATTTTAGCTTTTATTTCTACTCTGTCTTTTTCAGTTATGTTTTTGGTGGGTTCAGCTATAATTTATTTTATGTGAGGACCGATGCAAAGAATGAGTTAAGTAGCTCTGCTTTCTCTTTGCTGCCTGTTACTTCTTTGCTGTCTTCTTTCTTTAGTGGACCGACTATTTCCTTATTTTTTCTTTTATTTATATGTTGAAAGAAACTTTTTTTGTTACCTTTGATTTTTGTTGCAAGTCTTTGTTCATTCTGAACCTTTGCTTTCCTGGCTACTTCTTTGCAGATTCTGGCTATCTGCTGATATTCTGCCTTAGTTATATGTCCCTCTTTCCATTTTTTGTACTTGTTCTTTTTGTCTTTGAGTTTACCAGAGAGATCGTTGTGCAGCCATGCTGGTTTCTTGCTAGATTTCTTGATTTTCTTTTTCAGTGGTATTTTGCTGGATTGGGCTTTTGTGATCATATTTTTCAGAGTTTCCCAAGTTTCTTGAGTTGTTTTCCCCTTCAGGATATTCATCCAAGGAATCTTTCCCAAATTCTCTTGGAGTTTGTTAAGTCAGCTCTTTTAAAATCTAAGACTCTGATATCATTATGTTCTATTGCTTGTGTTTACATTATATTTAATTCCTGTATGACATGGTCACTCTCGCCCAAGGTTCCTGCAGTTTCAACTCCTTCTATCATTTCTCTGTTCATGAGAATTAAGTCCAGTATGGTTCTCTCCTCTACCTTTTGGTCAACAAAGTTGTTAGTTAGGTTGGTCAGGAATCTATTTGATTTCTCACTTGGTGCAGAATTAGTCTTCCAGTTGATATCAGGGTAATTGAAGTCTCCCATTATTACTGTAGTGTGTTTCCTACATATGTTCATTAATTGGTTAGCAAAAAGTACATCTATTTTTTCTGCTTGGTTGGGTGACCTGTAATATACTCCTATGGCAATGTCATTTTTTTTCTTTTATATTGACCCATATGCATTCTAGGAGGTTTTTGTCTTTGGTCTCATGCATTTCTGTAACAATATATTGATCTTTTATATATAGTGCAACTCTACCTCCTCTTTTATGGGGTCTGAGTTTTTTTGAACAGTCTATATCTTTCTGTCAGTGTATTCCAATGTGTCTCGTCCTACCATGTTTCAGTAATTCCAATTATATCATATCTATCTTCATGTATTAATAATTTTAATTTACCCTGTTTGTTCCCCAAACTTTGTGCATTTGTATATAGGCATTTCGAGATCTTTATATCTGACTCTGGGTATGCTTCCCATGTCTCCTATTTGATGTTTGAGTTTGTCTTCCTTCCAATCCCTCCTTGCCTCATTATTTGATTTTTTTTCTAGGGTTTTTTGCTTGTAATTAGGTCCTAGAGCAGTGGTTCTCAACCTTTTTAATGCCGCGACCCCCAACCGGTCGTAAGTTGAGGACTACTCAACTGGTCATAAGTCGAGGACTACTCAACTGGTGCAGCACTGTTTGCAGAATGGGACTTTTGGCGGGCTCAGCAGGGCAGAGACAGCCTGGACAATTCCTATTGGCTTTTGAAAGCCAATAGAATTAGACTGTATTCAAGAGAGTCTATTCTATTGGCTTTCAGAAGTCAATAGAATAAAAGGGAGTAGCACAGCTAAGGAAAAGGGGAAAAAAAATGGCGGACTGCATTGTTTGGTGACCCCCGTGAAATGGTCGTTCGACCCCAAATGGGATCTCGACCCACAGATTGAGAACCACTGTCCTAGAGATCCTAACGTTTGGTCATCCTCCCCCCTCAGTTTTAGTTTAAAGTCCTCCTAATAAGTTGAACCAGATGTTTTCTGAAAACATTCCTCCCAGTTTTGTGCAGCCCGTCCCTTGCCAAAATCCATCATGGAGGTAATGCAGACCATGGTCCAGGAATCCAAAGTTCTTTTGATAACACCAACCCGTTAGCCAATGATTCACTTCTAGAACCTTTTGTTCTCTTATGTGATCTTGACCTTTCATTGGCAGTACAGATGAAAAACTACTTGTGCCCCTAACTCCTTGACCTTCTTGCCTAGCTATTCGTAATCAGTTGATATTCTTTTCAGGTCTATTTTGGTGTTGTTCGTCCCTACATGTAGTAGTAGAAAAGGATAGTAATCTGTGGGTTTTATTATTTTGGTTAGGTTCTCGGCCACATCTTGATTCTTGCTCCAGAGAGGCAACATACCTCTCTTGATTGACTGTCCGGCCTACAGATGGCTGATTCTGTTCCCTTGAGAACTGAATCTCCTATTACCAACACTCACCTTTTTTTTCTTGGGGAGTTTTCAGGTACTTTTCTATCTATCACAGGAGCACTTGATGTTGTTACTATTTTGGGGACATTTGACGATACTTCTTTTCCAGGTGTCTGCTTGTTTTCTTCCAGGGACAGCCTATGAAATTGATTGCTCAGCACCAGCAGGGCTGCATCAGAGTGGGTTGGGTTGGACAGGGTTTTTTTTTTCTAGGTGTTTTTTTTTTCCTATGAGTGACATGTTTCCATCTCTTTTCTTCTTCTAAGAAGTCAATTCTTTTAGAAGTTGTTTGACCATTATTGTGTTCAATTTGGGCATGTTCTTTTTGCAAGGTTTGGGGTTTCTTGTTTTGTGGGTTGAGTCTCAAAGTGGTCAGAGTTTTCTCTAGACCAGGGGTAGGCAACCTTGGCTCTTTTATGACTCTTAGACTTCAACTCCCAGAATTCCTGAGCCAGCATGGTTGGCTCAGGAATTCTGGGAGTTGAAATCCACAAGTCATAAAAGAGCCAAGGTTGCCTATCCCTGCTTCTAGACCTTTTACTTTTTCCTCTAGTAGCACAATTAGTTTACATTTGGTACATTCATAGTTTGGTTCTTCTAAGCATATACATGGAACATGTTTTGCAGATCACAGTAGCATCAGTTTCTTTTTCCATGCATTTGCTGTGCTGTTGCCATTCACAGTCACCGGTACCTACTGGTGTGCTGCCGTTGGAGTCCAACTCAACAAGAAGACTGAGTTGCTTGTAAAAACAAACCTAGACTACTTTCTATTTTTAGTATTTTAAAGATACAGTATTGTGTTTAAAGCCTTAGTGCTTGAAAACTACATGTGTCTTTTTGCCCTTCTCTTATTAATTGTTCTTTCTATAATTAACTTTCTCTTTTTTTACAGCTAGAACATTGGTTTTAACACATTTTTTTACCCTATATCTCTGTCACTTTGGAAAACAAGGATTTACACTAAATTCAGACACTCTGTGCATAAAAATTAAATACTGTATGACAGAATCATTTTGAACATTTGAGGATTAGCTCTATTAAGCATTCCACCAAGAAGTTTTCAACAAATAGTGCTGAAACTGGTTACAATTAGTTACAATGTCAGACGTGATTGTTACCTTTAGGCAACTGTAAATCTAATGAAAATGTAATCTTTTCACCACATACTTCAGCCAGTCTTCCAGAGGGATTTCCAATGTAAGTGGGAAATAAGTAGCTAAATAAGTTACCATTGCCATAACAAACAAAGACAATGCACACTTCTAAAAAAGAAAAGCTCTGGAGTAGTTGTGTTTTAGGTCACAATTTTAAGTACACGTTTGATGTACACATATAGAAAATTGTACATAATTTTTATCACTAAAGGTTATGATGTCCATGGGGGCATTATAGTTTGCTCTAAATAAACAGAAGTAGGGGAATATTGATAAAATGGTTATGATAAATAAGCATTAAAAAGCAGAATCTTTTTTTTTACAGCACCAAACAAGTTTGTAATATGAAATTATTGAAATCTGCAGCCATGGAGGGGTGAAAAAAGAACCAAAATTGCAAACATGGGGAAAACATAATTCCACCTTTCCTTTTTGTGAATTTTAATAAATTAAATCTAATTGCCCAATCTTTTAAATATTGTCATTTCCATCAATATAAAAGTATCTGTGAAAATAGAATGACATTAATTTCATGTGTGTGTGTGTGTGTGCTCAAAATTCAGCCGTCTGAGAAAACGTGTAAGATTATGACTCCTGTAGGTTTATTTGAATGGAGAAGCAGAATGGAGGAAGAGGTTTTTTTGATAGGTTTTAAGGGCCACTTTAAAGGAAAATATGAGGGAAAGAAGCAGGCATGTTTTTCTACGAAGGCAGCTTTTTCTGCCAACCAATGCCGAAGTGTCAACCGGCTAACAGAAATGCTTTGGATGCGTTGTTTTCTTCTCCAATGCGTGGTTTGGTGCTTATGGACAAATAGGAATGTCTCCTTCCCTTCCAAGGTAGGCGGAGGCGGGTGGGGGGGGGAAATAGGAAATACTAAGAGCAGGTATTGAAACACCGGTCTACCGACCACGTCCCTCCGTACTGTGCAACCAAACAACCAGAACGAGGCACTTATATTGGTTCCGGAATTGGGAGGCGGAGATATCACCGATGATGGCACCTTCTCTGACCTATTGTAGCAGCCACTTCCAGTAGTCTGAACCAATTAAACAAAGGTAGGCGAAGAAGTGGGGGCAGAAAAACCACAGTGCAAACCCAAATGCTTAGGAAACGAAAAGGTGGAGCGAGTTTTTGACAGGCGTAAATGTTCGCCAATTATTTTGAGGAGTTCTTGCCGAAGTCAGCGAATGCCTCGGGAAGCTCGAACAGGGGAAGAAGAGAAGTAGTTGAGGAGGTGGGAGCTGTTGTTAGGGAGAGGGAGACAGCGCGGCTCGGCGGCTTAGCAGAAGCTGAAGGGAGGAGGAGGCGGTAGCAGGTGAGATTGAGCGGCCGGCCGGCGAAACTGCCTGGGTGGGGCTCGGCGGAGGGAAGGGGCTTCCGAAGACCCGGCGCGAGGTTCGTCCCCTCGGCGGAGAGAGCGGGAGAGCTGCGCCGAAAGGCCTGGCGGGCGAAGTGGAGCGAAGCCGAGGGGCGGGTTTGGGCTTTTTGCCCCCGAAGCGCCGGGGTGAGTCTCCGGAGGGAAGGAGCGGCAGGGAGAGCAAGAGCCGGGCGGGCAGAGGAAAGGAGGAAGGGGCGAGCCAGTCTGCCGGTCGCGGGCGAGGAATGCCTTCGGGCGGGGGAGGCCGAGAGGGGGGCGGACGGAAAAGGCCCCCTTGAGCCAGGCTGGAGCGCCGAAGGCACCGGGGTGCAGGAGCGCGGGACTCGGAGGCTTTTCTCCTCCGCCGGAGGAAGGCGGGGGCCAAGGGGTTAAACGGCAGGCTGGGTCCTGGGCGAGGTGGCGGCGGGGCAGTCCAGGAAAAAAGCGGGCGGCGAGGCGTCCTGGGCGAGGAAGGGAAGGGAAGGGGCGCGGGAAGCCGGAGCGGGAGGGGGGTCGCGCCGCGGGGAGAGCGCCGCAGCATCCCTCGGAGCCGGGCAGCGAGGCCGACCTCGGGGCAGGAGTTGTCACCCCTCGGTGGTTGTGGCAGCGCCCGTGGCTGTCCTGCCTTCTCGGGTTAGGCCTCGGCTTGGGCCGGTTGGGTTTCTGGAGGAATGCTGCCAGTTGGCTTCTTCTCCAGGCTGCGCTGCATTTCTTGTTTGTGGGGATCTTTTTGCTGAACCCTCACTTCGCAGTCCAAAGCAGGGCTGGGATTGGAGTCCAGGAAGGAAAGCGCTGATAAGCTAATTACCCCTAATTTCTTGTTCTTACTCAGGCTTCCCAAGAAATAGATTTGGTATGTTGTGGGGTCAGGTCAGTGATGTTAAACTTTAAAAGATCTGTGAAACAGGTGTTGATTTCAGTCATGATGGGATCACTCTGACCTTTAAGGAAAAAAAATGCACATTTTCTAGGTAAAGAATTGAAAAAAACCTACAAAAATAATGCAAGCTCACTAATAGGCACTTGATTTTATGTGCAATATTGCTCATTTTCTCACATAGTGGCAATAACAAATCCTTGTCACTTTGTTTAGTTACAAGAATAGAAAAAGTGAAAGTTCATTTTTTTTCCTCAAAGGGATTAAATGAATTTATATTTTAATATTTTTGAGAGTGCTCACTTTGTGAAAATCCATTGTTTCCTTCTCTTACAGCAGTTCTCATCCATACTTCCTTAATCCAAAATATTTATGTAACCTGTACAGTAATATTTTATAAATCTGTAAGAAAGTAGAATATGTTTTGTGTGTGGACTGTCATGCCTTCTGAGTCTCTCTCTTCCTTGCTTCACCATTCAGTTTTTCAGTATAATGCATTTGCAGTGATTTGCTGCCTTTTTTCAGTGTATTGGAAAATATCTTAAACATTTTGAAATTCCCACACTGTGTATATGTAGCTTTGAGCACAGGAGAGGAAGCAGTATTTATTCAGTTGTACAGCAGTGGCATTTGTTTGTAGTTACTATCTGCCACAAAAGATAATGAAGAAGCATATTTTCAACTTCCTTAATTCTTGTCAAAAGACTTACAAAACCTATCATGGTATCTGCTATTTTATGCCTGACACAGAAAAACAGCAATGACGATTAACATTTTTCCATTGTATTGTTGGACTATTATTATTTCGCTTAAGGAAACACTGAATGACATCATGATCAACAAATTGCAAACATAAAATTGTTCATTCTTTCAATTTGTAATATTTGTTTCTTACTAAGCTTTCTGTACACATGTGGAAGAAGAGTAAAGCCATCATTCTTACATACAATATGCAAAAAAAAAAAAAAACTATCTACAGTAGAGTTTTAACATGTAGGATAACGAAGCTTTTTATACTGAAAGAGCTATTTTTAACCAAATATTTATAATACTCTTTAGTGAAAAGTACACAGTGATAAGGAAAATAAATCTTATTGTGATGCCTAGCATCTTCCTACATGTTTATTTACTGAATTAACTCACCCTGATTAGATAATCTATGCTATGCTCAAACATTGTTGTCTGGAACATTAGTGCCAAAAGCCAGACACCATTAAATAAGATTTTAAATTAAGTTTGAAATATTATAAATCAACATTTTCTTCTAGCTTCTAATTCTTAGCCATCCCAGATTAACAGACAAGTGATTAGCCTAGATAGATGAATTATGGTATACCACTTAATATATGTAAGTACTTGAGAGCTGTTAGATGGTGTAACTTATTTCATAGTCCTGTGTTTCATTTAAAGAACTGTGGCTGAAGAAACTAAACATTTTGCCAAATTGTTGTTGCATATATCAATCTGTCAAAAGTGTTGCGTCTAAAGTTTTACATGGAATTGCTCAACTTTGTACTTAGGAGCTCTAAGATTGGAAGTACTGAAAATATTTTAATTAAATCCAGAGCCACTTAGAAAATGTTCTTGGCTCTAGATTAGTTTAGAACAGGCAATTCCCAATTTGAGACTAGTAAAAGTATTTCTGAGCAATCCAAATGTTTATTCATAAAAATAATATTGGATTTAGATAAGACATAAAATTAATCTTTTTTCTACACATTCCTGTGGGTGCTGCATCCTGTGTAGAAGGCTGTGTTTGCCTCCATTGCTATCTTTGCTCGCCTATGCAAGCAATCTTTTTCTTGCCTGGTATAAAGAAAAACACTGGATAAGGGACTATAATGAACACTGTTATTTTTCATCCTCACTACCTTTGGATGCAATCACTAGTGTGTACATTAGAAATGGGTGGGTCCAAAGTACTGGAAATAAGGAAAAGAATGGTGGCAAAAAGAGATATACAATTCTCACTCAGCTCTGTTTCCTTTTCTCTTTAAACTCTTCTTAATTTCTTGGTATTTTAAAAGTATAGTATAAAAAGCCACATTGCTAATGTCTTTTTTTTCTCATTTGCAATTGTTTGGGCTTGTATGTCAAGGAAAATGGTCAGCTGAAATGCAGACGGCAGCAAGATCATTGTATCACCTCTGTCATAATGAGAAAAGATTTTTTGTTATCTTATTTTGGCTGAGAGAAATAGTGCAAAGAGCACTGGTAGTTGGGAGAATGGGTACGTTTTACTATATGCAGTGGTAGGTAGGTAAGTAGATTTTGTGCCATCAAGTGGACTCTTAGAGACGACTTAGATTTTGTCCATGATGATCTGTCCCTTGAGGTCTTCCAGTTATGCATCCATTGCCACAATCATCACCGTGTTGGTTATCTTCTCTTCCCTTCCACTTTTGCCAGCATTATGTATTTCTCAGGAGAGCTAAATCCTCACGTATTCACGTAATACACCTAAAATATTATAATTTGAGCCTGTTCATTTGTACCTCAAGAATTGTGGATTGATTTGTTCTATTTCATTTGTTTTCTTCTCAAGAGCCTTTTCAAACACCATTGCTCAAAAGTGCCGATACTCTTCCTATCCTGCTTTTTTAAAGTTCAACTTTCGCTTCCATAGAGAGTCACAGGGAATATCATTGCTTGTGCTATTCTGAATTTTGTAGGTATAGACACTTCACAGCATCTGAATATCTATTCCAATACCTTCATGGCTAAGTGCTAGTCTGTAGTGTATTTCTTGTATAGTTGTTTATTTACTGTTAATGGTTGATCCTAAAAGAGAGAAGCTATCTATCACTTCAGCATCTTCAGTGTTAAGTTGCCAGCAGATTTAAAGTAATATAGTGCATCTTCCTGGGTCCTTGTATAAAGACTCTTAGAGATGTCCATTAAATCCTTTCCTTTAGCACTCTTTATTGAAGGGCTTCCAAAATTGGCTATGGACACAGAACAGTAGTCTCCATGTAGTCAAGAAGCATGTTTTAGGAGCAGCAAAGTATAAGGGCTAGAATGAGAGAGATATAAAGCAAACTGATGGACAAGTAAGATAAATGTAAAAGAAAAGGGTGCAGTAAGTGACTCAATGAGAAGAACAGATACAGTTGTCTTATGCGAACTATAACTTTTGTTAAATCTTGGATCTGGCCTGTTTGAAAAATGTGATAGCACAAGAATATGGATCTGAGGGAACGAGTTTAAAGCCACATCACTATCAAATTGCAAATGATTTGTATTTCTATAAAAGATCTAGTTCTTTTCAATTCTGTTAAGGATGCAGAAGTATGGATCTGAGGCATAAATCTTTATGGACCCTGTTACGATTTGATGATATTCCATCTTTAATGTAGAACATTACAACAATGTATTAAGTAATGAAAAAAACTTAAAAACCCCATATTCCCCAAACAGTAAAAAGAATACAATAGTGAACTAGTGATACAGTGGTTGATATGTTAGACTGGAATTGGAGTATGGTTTGAATGGATGATTTAGACAAGTCATTCTTACATCTTATTTTAGAGAGAGATGACGGAATAAAGGGAGGCTATGTCAGCTGCCTTGAGGCAATAGGAAAAGGTAAGATATAAATATAGTCATAATACAATATGATATAATCCTGGCAACCTCAAACTCTCAAATACTTTGTTAAACAAGAGTCCGAGTTCAGAAATAGTGGTACAGGTATTGATAAAGACACTATTAGAGAGAGACTGTTGCTTTTGTTTACACTAATATGTTGAAACATTTTCAGTGCTAAACTATTCCATCTTGTTTCATTTCCCCCAACTGAGAAGAGATGACATAAAGCATGAGAGAGGCCAAAATGTTGCAAGATGAGTAAGTGTCAGAGATGATTGCAACTATTGATGTAATTGTTGAATCGTGTGGCTACAACACCTCAGTAACAGTTTATAGCAGTGCTTCCTAAACCTGAGTAAATTACCCCAAATTGGTAGAAGTGGTTTTTCTCTGAGCATGACAATTGAACCCATTATCCACAAAGAGACATTTAAATTGACTTAAACTGTTTTACCTACATTGAGTAAAAAGGAGTTTCTAATAAGCGGTTTTGAGTAATGAAGGGGGAAAAAATAGCACTGGTTTATAGTATTAAGTGTGTGGTGCGGCTACTTAGATCAGGGCTTTTCAACTTTTTCATCCATTGTACCACTTTTAGGATATGGCAACATCCGAGTACCACCAGTTGCCTAGCAAGGTGTCAAAAACTTGATGACCAGAAAAAAAAAGGAAAAAGTGATAA